CGGCTGCTTCAGCTGCTCCAGCTGCTCCAGCCATGGCTACATTAGTCCCAGGTGTGGACTTTAGAAAATATAAGCCAGAAGCCTTGCTGGCATCCACGTGGTGTTAGGTCTGCAGGTTTGCAGAATAGCAGAGCTGTGAAGCCTTGGGAGCCTCCACCCTGACTTCAAAGGATGTATGGAAAAGGCTGGGGGCCCAAGAAGAGATTTGCCACAGGGGAGGATTCACCATATAGAGTCTTCACTAGAACAATGCCAAATGGAAACATGGGGTCAGAGTTGCAGCAGAAAAACCCCAACAGCACCGTGCCTAGTGGAGTTGTGAGAGCGGGACCACCATGGAGACCCCAGACCTGTGGAGCTATACCAGAGTGCAATGCTAGCCTGCGAGAGCTGAAGCATGGTCTCAGACCAGGAAAGCCATAGAAGCAGAGCAGCCTGAGGACTTGGGGACTCAACCCCCAAACCAGAGCACAGAGGATGTTGAACATGGAGTCCAGGTTCAGGATTCATCAGTTTTAAGATTTAACGTCTGCCCTGCTGGGTTTTGGACTTGTTTGGGACTTGTTACACCTTTTCTTCGGCCTATTTCTCCCTTTTTGAATAGGAATATGTACCCTATGTTTGTCCCAACATTGTATATTTGAAGTAGATAACTGGTTGATTTCACAGATGGGACTTTGAACTTTGAAACTGAACTTTGAAATGTTGAATTCAACAAGTTAAGACTTTGGGGACGAAATGAAAATATTTGTATGTGAAAAGGATGTGAGTTTTGGGTGGGCCAGGGGCAGAATGCTGTGGGTTGAATGTTCTCCCCAAACTCATTGAAGCTTCAATTGTGCCCCCAAGTTTTATGCATTAGAAACTTGGTCTCCATTGCAATTTTCCAGCCTCTGAAACTATAAGCAATAAATTTCATTTTTTGATAAATTACTCAGTTCTGTGTATTTTGTTATAAGCAACAGAAATGGAATAATACAAAGGCTTACCTTTATATAAATTTACGTATGGCTTAAATCAAACTCATTTTCCTTCCTGTTTCTGTCTTGGGTTTTCTCTCTTATTGTTGGCACTGAGGCTTGAAACACTGGGATATGCTTGACTTTTTTCCTTCCCTTTTCTTCTCCATCTCCTTCACCAAGCATAGGGAAATTACTCTGTGTCTTTTGTATCCCTTTATTGCCAGTCCCCTGCCCCCACCACATTCAAGTCTTCAGTAATTTCCTGTGAGATCTCCACACCTTTATTCTGGCCCTTTCCCTAATACTTCCTAAATATAACCAGATTCATCCATCTAAGAATATTATATTTTACATTTTGCCCAGGTGCCTGAAAAGTTTTGGTGCTTCATTATCTTTAAAATAAAGCAGAAACTCAGATTAGCAATCAAAGTTGTTCCCAGCCTATCTCTGTTTGTTTCCCATCAGTTGCCAGCACAATCCTTCCATAGCTTTAGCTGGGTCCTCTCATACCATGTACATTCCCACCTCTACCAGTACAAACCCCTTTCCATTGTGCTTGTCTGAACTGTACCCTTCTTTCAAGTCCTGCTTCCTTCAAGAAGCCTTTTCTGGTTTCCCTAAGCTTCAGTGACTCTTGTCTGAACTTCTGGAGCATTTAATGACTCTATCACTCATTTAGCACTCATTTAGTAGTAAAAGACTACCTTGCCTTATCTGTGCATGAATGCTTACTCTCTTTCTAGCAGTACCTGATAATGGGTGTATAGAAGTTATTGAGGTTTCTTTTTTTTTTTTTTTTAGCCCTAATGTTCAAGATAAAGATTAAGGAGACATCCCAACATATATAAACAACAAATAAAAAAGCAGACTACATTGTTTCAAATTCCTGAGGTTGACTTGAGATTTTTATAGCAACCAATATTTGTTGAGCAACTAGGCTAGGCATTATACCAGATGCTGGAGACAAAACAATGAACAGTACACTAATCAATTTGGCTTTCAAGAAGCATACATTCTGGTAGGGGAATAAGACAATTAAATACACAATTATAATGCTGTGGGATATATACCACTATAGAAGCATAGGACACTAACAGATCACTTAAGAGGAGCATGTAAAAGCAGTGAGGAGATATGGATGGCTTTAAGAAGACAGCATGATTCAACTAGATTTGCATTTTAGAAATACCACTCTGGATGCAGTATGGAAAATAGTGTGCGGGGACAGGAGAGTGGAGGCAGGGAGGCTGATTGGGCAGCTGATATGGTAATCCAGCAAACATGATGATAATGACCTAACCATAGCAGTGGTGGCAGAGATGGAAAAGAATAAATTTCAGGGAAGCTCAAAGAGTAAAACTGTGAGGACTAAATGGACATGGAGAACAAGAGAGAGGAAGCTAAATGGATGTTAATGTCATTCACTAAGAAGGAAATCAGGGGAAAAAACTAAAAGAGATGGGAAGATAATCAGTTCAGTGTCAGGTACGTTTAGCTTGGCATACACCTGGGCATACCCACGTGGAGATGCACGGGCAGTTGTGTATGTTGTACTGATCCTTGGGAGAAAAATCTCAACCAGAGATATAACTTTGGGACTCATCATAGTGAGGATGAAGAAGCCATATAAGTCCAAGAAGACAACTGGAGGACAGCAAATGCAGAGTAAGAGGATAAAACCAGGCTGAAACCCAAAAGACAAAAATGTTTAAAGGTGAGAAAGAGGATTGTACAAAAATAAACCAAAACAGAACAAAATGAAAAAAACTGAGAAATAGCCAAGAGGCAGGAGAAAATCAAGGAGAATATGGTGTTTCCAAAGTGGGTCAACAGTGTTACATGCTGCAAGAGATAGGTCTGGATTTATTGACGGGTTTATATTTTTGCTTTTGTATTTATTTTAGTGTGACTAGTACAGTGCAGCAGTTCTCATCCTTTTGACCATACAAATTATTGTGTACTCTTACAAATGACTGAGGACCCAAAAGAGCTTTTGATTATGTGGTTCTATCTGTTTTTATCCTACTAAAAATTAGAACTGAGGACATTTAAAACATATATATTAATTCACTTAAAAATAAGCCTATTACTAGTTAATAGAAATGTTTATACAAATAACTACTTTAAAACAAAGAAAATTAATAAGAGTGGCACAGTTTTACATTTTAGCAAATCTCTTCAATATCTGGCTTAAAGAAAAAGCTGAATTCTCACATCTGGTTCTTCCTGAAGTCTGTTTTGCTATTACATGTTATGTAGCCTCTGGAAAACTCCATTGTATTATCATGAAATAAAAAGAGTGAAAAAAGTAACTAACAACTTAAATAATTATGACGATAGTTTGATCTTGTGAACACCCTGAAAGGTTCTTAGCAATCTCTAGGGATCTGGGGACCACACTTTTAGAATCACTACCCCAGAGCAGGAGAGCTTAACAATACTGTGAACCTCACAAATAAGGTCTTGATGCCATAGCCAAGAGTAAGCTGGAGAGACCTGACTGACGTTTCAAGGGCTATTTTATGAGTGGTTGATGTTGTCTCACTGACATTATTCTCCAGGGTTAGGAATGGACTCTAGAACAGTTGTTCAATTAATTCATTCAACAAATATTTCTTTAGCACATATTACGTGCCAGGAAGGACCTTAGACACCGAGGATTTAACAGTAAACACAAGAGACAAAAAATCCTTGCCCTCATGAGACTTCTTTTCTCTTTGAGGAATATTAGATAGTGAACAGATAAAGTATTAAAATATATAGAATTTCAGAGAGTGGTAAGTGCTATGTATGCAGAAAAATACTGCAAAGAGGTACAGGAATGCTGGAGGGATTTGCAAATTTCAGTAGTATGGACAGGGAAGGCTTCATTAAGAAGGCAACATCTGAGCAAAGACCTGAAGCAAGTGAAGGAGCCATGTGAATATCTGGTGAAAGAGCTTTTCCAGGTATTAACAAATTAATTCCTTAACTCATTCTAAGTGTTATTTATATGCATGCTTTAATTAAATATCTATTGTATATGACATTAGCTGCAAGTATACAGAAATAAGACACAAAAACTAATGTTTATTGAGTGCCTGCCATGTACCAGGCACTTTGCTAGGTATTATATATAAGGTTTGGTATCTTCAAGATTTACAACTTAAAGAGACAAGGAATATACATACAGTTTCTGCAGCGTGATGTAGCAGTTCTTATAAGCAGGAATAATTGGTTTGAAGTTGCATCACCAGAGGTTTTATGGCGCCTGGTCCACCTGAAGCCTACCTCTCTCCCTTTCAAGGCGAATTAACGTGTGAAAGGTATTTCTAAATCTAACAGAGGGTGAGCCAGGAAGTTAACAATATCTGATCACACCTTTTACAGAGCACTTCAGTTAATGAAGCATCTTCACAAATTAACTCATTTAATCTTCATAACAATTCTAAGCAGTAGGTATTATTCTAAGCAGTATTACTGTCTCCGTGAGTTGGGGAAACAGGCTCAGTAGGTTAGATAATATGACAGGGCGGTTATGCGGTAGAGTTAGACCTAAATTTAAGATAATCTGCTGCAAGCACAACGCTCTCCCCACCGCAAGGCATCTGTTACGAACAGCTGCTGAAATAGAAGCGCTTTATACTCCCCTGAGTCAGTCGTCTTCCAATTACACAACGAAAGGAGGGTTAGGTTAGGATGGGGGAGGAGTTAGAGGCTGCGAAGATGTTGATGAAGTCACACACACACACACACACACACACACACACACACACACACACACACACACACACACACACACACACACACACTCACGCACACGCACACGCACACGCACACGCACACGCACACGCACACGCACACGCACACGCACACGCACACGCACACGCACACGCACACGCACACGCACACGCACACGCACACGCACACGCACACGCACACGCACACGCACACGCACACGCACACGCACACGCACACGCACACGCACACGCACACGCACACGCACACGCACACGCACACGCACACGCACACGCACACACACACACACACACACACAAATCTCCCGATCTGCGCTTGCGCATGGGAGGAAGGCGCTCTCCGGAAGGACGCCTGGGACACTGCGTGTGCGCAGACGCAGAGCTACCTCTAGGCGGAACTGGGGCGTCCCGGGCTTCGGTAACTCAAACACCCGGTGTGAAAGGAAGGTGGCAGCCGTGGGGCGGTGCGCGTGCGCGGGCGGCTCTCCGCGGTGAAAGGTTGAAAGTCGGACCCCTGCGGCCAGCTGGGCTTGGAGCGGAGCAGGGTCAGGATGGACGAGGACGTGCTGACTACGCTGAAGATCCTCATCATCGGCGAGAGTGGGGTGGGCAAGTCCAGGTGAGGCGGGTCTGCGGGCCGCGACGGGGGCGGCTGGGCTCTGTCTCAGCGGCGGCTGTCTGCTGGGCCGGGACGTCAATGGAAAACGGCGGCGGCTGGGCGCCGGCCCGGCTCCGGCCGGCTCCTCTTGGCCCCGCTCGCCACCTCCTCGCGCCCTCCTCGGCCTCGCGCCCCTGCGGTCCCTGTTCCCCGCGTCTGCCTGGTTCACGGCCTCCGCCAGGCCCAAGATGTCTGGTTCGCTTTCCCTCCTGTAGCACCGAGGGGGAAAAAACAATTCCGAAGGCCGCCACTCGGCCGGCCAGTTTGCTGTCGCGGAGACCAGGGCGTGGCGGGAGGGTTTGGGCCCGAGTCCGGCCGACAGCGACGCCTCGCCTGGGGCCCCGCGGGGTTCAGGTTGCTTGTCACCCCGGGATTTGGGGGTTGTAAGTTTATCACTTTGGGATTTCTGTCAGGCTTTCTTTGAATACGTAATGTTCTACACAGGAAGTTTCGTGACGCCTTCGGTCGCATTCCTGGCCTATTTTGGCGCAGGCCTTTGTCGCTTTAAAAAATCTTTTTTATGTTAGTCGGCTTCGGCTGTGGAATAACTCATTGGTCATGTGCCTGCTTAAAAACTCACTTTCTTGTAAGGTGCGAGTGCTTAACCTGTGTACGGTCTTTGCAAATAAAATGTAATTGTTATTTCTCATTTTGCCACATCATATGGAGATAGGACAAATTAGTACTGTCCTTTTTTGACTCTTTCCTTGGAGAAAATAATATTGACAATAGTTAGAATTGAATGTAAGGTAAGACATGAATTTAGGTGGGTGTTGCTAAAGGCTCGTGATTTCATCCAGTTCTTGGAACAGAGTTCTCCAGGTGAAGTGTTCCTTGCCATCTGATTATGAGTAGGTTGTATTCTAGGCCGTCTTGATCTTTAAACAATATTTAAACTCCAGAGGTTGTAAGCAGTTTCATATTTTAGCTGTGCCTCCTGGTAGACGTATCTCCCAAATAACTTTTTAAATCACTTCATGATAGACTTATATCCCAAATAACTTTTTACATCACTTCTTAAAGTCTTACTTTTTTCGATGCATACGGATTCGAAAGCTCATATATAATATATTCTTAAGTTTTATATATTTTTAAAGTTTGACAATACATTTTCATGGTTTCCCTCATTCAACGTATTCTGTCTATACTGGAGTGAGGGATTTATACATACCAAGGAATGGATTAATGAAACACTACGGGTTAGCAAAATAGTATGATTTGTGTGTGTGTGTGATTTGTGTTAAAGGACTGAATAAAATCATTTTCATGATCACCATGTATTATTGCACATTTTGTATTTGAGGGTTAAAAGGTTAGTTTATACATTGAGCATTGTCTTGATAGGAATTCCATTGTCTTGTGACCTGTTTTTTCTTTTCTCCTTTTTTCCTTTAAATATGGCCCTTATTTAAGTTAAGATGTATATAATTGCTGTTTTTAGTCTCCCTAGTTCGCCCCCTCCAAATAAACTTGTTTGGGACTAATCTACTTTAAACTTTTTCTCAGTACTTAGTGGCGAGTTATCAACTACTCACTGAAAAATTTTAACGCTTGACCTCTTTCAAGAAAGGATTGCATTTAAGGAAAAAGTTGTCTTATTTTTCTGGCTAGATATATGTTATTGGTCTGTGTGATGTGCTGTGGAATACAATCTTGAACACTTATCTTTCAGGATTAAATGAGAATAAATGACTCCACTAAAGAAGAAGCCAATGCCTTTTAAGGCCAGCTAGTATAAGAACATTTGTCATGGGTATGATCTTAAAGGGTCATTCTGACCAATAGTTTCTCTTTACACAACTGGAGCTAGTGGAAGTGAGAACACTTGTTGAGGAGTTATTGCACAACAAAGGATATTTTAACTAATCCAAATTAATGGATTACGTTCCAGTTTATTTCATACTGTTGCAGTGTAGAGGGTACTGATAGCAGCCAGGAGATTAAGATTATGAAACGGGTGCTGCCACCTGCATGACCTTGTGTGTTACACTTGAACACTCTAGGCCTTCATTTGAAAAGTGAGGGGTTTGGGATAGAAATTTCTCAAACCTTGTCTAATGTTAAATGTATGACTTGCTTCTGTGGTTAGGCCTGGTGAAGTAAAGATGTAGCCAAAGTGTATCAAGAACTGGAAGGGATTATAGAGACCTTCTATTACCTAAATTACCGTCCTTCCTACACACCTTCCATTCCCAGCCTTTTTGGTGAATTTCATTTGTAAATTAAGAAATGCAGATTAGTTATAATCACACTGTTTATTATAAATTTAGTCTTATCTAAATGGCATGATGGTAGTTACTTCTACCAGTAGCTCTGCATGGAGAGTATTTTGTTCCTTCAACTTTGACAGTACGAAGGCTTAAATATACAAGAACAGTGGTTCTTAATCATTTTGGGGTTGTGGATTCCTTTCAAAATCTAATAGAGAAATGGACTCTGCCTAGAAAAATGCATACATAGAATTTAAAAGATTTCAGGCTATCAGTGTACTCCTGGCTGAGATTTGACTTTTACTCAGAGCCTGTATTAAAATTTGTTGCTTTGCACCATCCCAATTTCCTGCTTTTCCTGACAGAGTGCCATTAATGACTAGGGATGTTGTAAAGATTAGCAGTTATGGAAGAAACACCCGTGGCACAGTGTCTGGCACATTGTCGATGTTCAATAAATAATAGCCAATACCATTATTATTACTTCTATTATTATAATGGTATTATTATTACTACTACTCTACAAGGTTATGTTAACCTATGTTTTTGTAATAGTCTTTTCTGTGGTGACCAAGTATAGATATCTTTTCTTAAATTATGTATAACTGAAATTTTTAGTGAAATATTTACTTTTATTAAAAGTTAATGTTGGGGAGAAGAAAATCTTTATAAGCAGTCTTTTAAGATTCTCATTAGTGCTGTCATCTAAGTCATGTTGTAAGTAAATATAATTATAGTCAAGATGTTAAGCAGAAAAATGAAGAATTTGACTTTTCTGTTTTACTTTAATTCTGTAGTGCTGATTTTAATGTAAATGCAAGAAAATAAAACCCAGAAAGGGAGAGTTAATTCTTCAAACATAATTAATTACCTGGGTTTGGAAACTACCAGGAGACCATTTTGTTTTGCAATATGCTCTGTGGGTTAAAAACTATGTCTAATAGTAATAACGACAACCTATAGAAATATTTGTAACATTTTTCTGTAATTCATATATGTGACAGCTGTTTCCTTGATTTTATTAATGCAAATAGGTCAATAGAACAGTCTTCTACTTTAGGAATTAATATGAGGATAGACTGATTAATTTTCTAAATCCAGGGCTTTAACAAAAGCTTAGATTTTATTTTTTGAAGAACTTTTAACAACTGACACTTCTGCCTCATATTAAGTAAAATAATTCTGGGAGATGTAAAATCTTAGAGTACTCTTCTAATCTGATGTCTTGCTTTCATCCCTTCTTTTATAGTTTCTTTACCACTTCCTAAGTTTAGTCTTTTGTTCTCTCTTACCATAATTACGGCAGTTGTCTTCTGTTGGTTTTCTTCCATTTTTTTGCCAGCATTAACTTTTCAAAACATAGAGCAGTTCTTGTCATTCATTTCTTAAGAGGCTTCACTAGCTCCCAATTGCCTACTTGGTTTCATACACCCTACCTAGCATTTGCCAGTGTACCTACTCTGGCTGTCATGTGGTCTGTCTACCCTCTCATTTTATTTTATCTTTTCTTCCCACTTAGGTAGTAGTCATATTACTTGTTACAAAATGCTAGTCTTTCATAACTTTCTGTTTTTACTTGAATTCAAAGTGGTTTACACAGCATATTTTTTTGAAGTCAAATTGTTGCATCCCAAGAGACACTTTATTTTTTCCCTTTTGTCCATTTCAGTTGAAGCATGACGTATTGCTAATATCATTTTCTCAGAAGAACATAATACCAGTACAGTTAAAAAATAACAGAGAAAACATACTTTTTTGTACTTTGGGATTTGTGTAGGGAAGCATGGGGAATAAATTCACTAGTAAACTACTTTGCTTTTGGGATTTTCTAATTTCCTTTCCAATAATTTAATTCCTCTGTAACCTACACTGAGGCAGTATTCATGGGAGCAAACCTACATCCAATATTCTTATCTGCATGAAATTATTTGTGACAAAAATAACTGTCATGAACACATTTATCATACGATTAGAAAGAAAAGTCAGATTTCTAATCTGTCTTTTAATGTCTCTTTCAGCCTGCTCTTGAGGTTCACAGATGATACTTTTGATCCAGAACTTGCAGCAACAATAGGTAAGCCTATGTTTAAAAATTCAGTGGAAATGCTGAGTACTTTTTTTTGCCATCAGGCTGTTTTATCTAAATCCTCCTGCCCTCCTCTCACCACCCCACTTCTTCCATGTCTGTCAAAATCTTAGCTGTCTTTCAAGAGTTAACTTTGGTGTCATTAAATCTCTGAAGGCTTTCTAGATCTCACCAAGCGAAATTAACTTCCTCATCTGTTATCTTATGGCACTTTGTGTTAGTACCACTGATATTATGGTTATCTGTATACACATTTCTCTCCTGTACTGTTGGTATTAGTTATTAAAAATTGTTAGGAGCAATGATACCTAAATGCCTTTTTAAAATAAAATTTAGATTGCCTAAAAGTGGTTTGTCACACTAGTTTGTCAGAATATATGAGAAGGTAGAGGTAAATACTTTGGTATCACATGTTTAGGGAGTAGACAACAATATAAAGATATCAAAAGACAGCTTAGAATAGTCAAAAGATAGCTGAGCTGTGTCAGAGCTGGATAGTAGTCTTGGCTCTGGCTTGAACTAGGTGTCATCTTGAGCAAGTCACTTGACTTCATTGTTTTCATCTTTAAGTTGGGAGGTTTTTGTGGAGAGAGTACATTTTTCTTCCAACTTTGAAATTTCATTATTTGATGAGTATAATATAGTAAAGGTGATCCTAGCGTTATTGTTAGGGAATATAAAGAGTCTCTTTTAATTGGCTTTATTTGCTTTCATTTATTTTATCTGTTTTTTTTCCTTTTTATTGTGAAATAATTTCAGATTTAAAAATAAAGTTGTAAAAATAGTACAAAGAATTTTTGTATATCCTACTCAAATTTCTAAAATATTAATATTTATCACATTTGCTTTATTGTTCTCTCTCTACATATACACACACAGTATTCTTTTTTAAAGGTGACCAGTAAGGGCATCTTAACCCTTCACTTGGTGTTGTCAGCACTACACTCTTCCAGGTGAGCTAACCGGCCATCCCTAAATAGGGATCTGAACCCATGGCCTTGGTGTTATCAGCACCACACCCTTCCAAGTGAGCCATGAGCTGGCCCCTGGTATTCTTTTTTTTTTTGATGAATTGTTTGAGAGTAAATTGCAGACATGATGTCTTTGATATCTAAATACTTTAATGTGTATTTCCTAAATGAACATGGATACAGTTCAGCTTGTAGACAGATTTCATCAGTTGTCCCATTAATGTCCTATATAGCAAAAGAAAAAGAATTGTTTCTGATAAATTGCAGACATGATGTCTTTGATATCTAAATACTTTAATGTGTATTTCCTAAATGAACATGGATACAGTTCAGCTTGTGGACAGATTTCATCAGTTGTCCCATTAATGTCCTATATAGCAAAAGAAAAAGAATTGTTTCTGGTCCAGTATCATGCACTGAATTTGGTTGTCATTTCTCTTTAGTCTCTTTTATCTGAACAGTTTTTCGGTTTTTCTTTGTCTTTCCATGGCCTTGACATTTGTCCAGTGTGTCCTCACGATTAGATGGAGGTTATGCATTTTTGGCAGGAAGTCCACAGAAGTGCTTCTCAGAGCATTATGTCTAGAGGTACATGGTGTGTGCTCATTACTGGTGATGGGATTTTGGTCACTTAAGGTGCTCTTTGCCAGGCTTCTCCTCTGTAAAGTTATTATTTTTCCCTTTATAACTGATAGATTTCTTGTGGAGAAATACTTTGAGGCTCTATAAATATCCTGTTTCTTATACCTTTTTTGGGGGAGTGGGGCAGCTGGCTGGTACAGGGATCCAAACCCTTGACCTTGGTGTTATCAGCACCACGCTCTGAGTGAGCTAGCTGGCCAGCCCTCTTTCTTATGCTTTTTGCCCTCTTCTTTTAGCATCTATTGATGATTTTTGCCTGCAACAGATAATAAGAACAATATGTGATCTTGACATTCCAACTGTGGTGGTTGTCAGATAGTGATTTTTTCAAATGCCATCATTCGGTCTACATTTCTTATTTGGAATTCTGTAAGGAAGAACTCTTCTTTGTTTCTGTTTATCAAGATGAACTGATAATGCCTCTAAGTGTTTAACAAATTATTTCAGATGCTGCTTAGCTTTTGTATGATATTAACATTTAGAGATTTACTTTTTTGTGGGTCATAAGAAAGGGAATTATTTAAAACATTATTAATTCAAAATCCATTTTAATTTGGCTTTGGTGTATTATTTGCTCCTTTAAAAAATTACTTAGTGGTAAAACTTCATTTTGATGACTGGTAATGGATAGTGAGGAGTGAGGAGGAGTAACTGGCAGGAAAATAAACTTGCCTAGAGTTAAACTTTTACCAAAGGAATGAGCATATATATAATATAAAACTGTCTGTCTTCATTTAAAACACAAATGGAATCTTGGGACTTGCAGAGTGACAGATCATGGGTTGTCCTTCTTATTAAAAAGGCTCTGTCTTCTGCAGAAACAAGTTTAGGGAGTAGACAACAATAAAAAGGTATCAAGAGACTAAGATATTAGCATGCTGATGAGAATATATATAATTTGTTCCCCAAATGGGCCCTGGGTCTTGAATATGTTCAAAAAAAGTGTCTTTTACATTTAGACGTCAGATTACTTTCTCCCTTAGGTTATGACCAATACACCCATGAGTTTTAAAAATAAAAACAAATAGCTCAATTGTTAATAGCCTTCTGAAAATGAGTGTTTTGTGGAAAATTAGTATTTTACCTCACAGCAAAATAGAAAAGTGCAACTGTATCTTTCAGTAATATAGTGAGACACTTAAGTTTCTGTCTTGTATAAAATACTCTTTTAAGATAATTGTTGGACTTTGGGTTTGTAGATATCATAAAGTTGGCATTTTCTTTTATTTTCTAGCAGTTAGCTAAAAATAACAGAGAGAGGGAAACACTAAAACACAAACTCACTATTCTACAAACCTAGGAGATAGCTAAAACCTATGCCACAAAATAGGTAGAATCACTGCAAAAAGCAGTCGAGATTAAGCAGACTGCGTGTGGGAAGTAGAGAGGACACCACAGGCACAGAGCTCAGAGCCAAGTCCGGTGCGGGCGCGACACTGAGGGTTGCGATCCATTGCCAGACACGAAAAAAAAAAGACAAAAAGGAAAAAAATAAATAAATAAAAGCAGAGCGAATGAGGAGGTTAGTCTGTCTGCTCCTCCATTTTTGCAGTGTGATATCCTGCCATCACTGTTGCCTCAAACAAGACCTTCAGCAGTTGGTTTCCATGGACTTTGGACTTCACAGCCTCAGAAACTCTAAGCAGTAAATTTTGTTTTCTTATAAATTACCCAGTTCCATGTATTTTGTTATAAGCAACAGAAATGGACTAATGTCTGTCTCTAGAGCAGTGGGGAGGAGATGACTTTGCACTGTGAAATACCTCAAGACTCTCTTGGCTGTTGAGAAGTAAAGCACTGAACTGTCTCTCATGTAAAACACTAAATCAAGAACAAGTTTTTGTCAGTCCAGAACTGGAAGCATTCTGGCCTTCTGCAGGAACTGCCTACGAATAGCTGGTCCAGGAAAGCCTCACCTTCTTCAAAGAGGAATAATTCAGCTCAAGACCACTACAAACATTCAAGAATCAAAAAGAAAGAAAGGAACAGAAAAATAAAGGACAGATGAAGAATACTCACCTAAAGAAATATTGCTGTGAAGAAGAGGAAAATCATGAGAGCATGTTTTGCTATGAATTTAATGAGCTTTATGAAGTATTTACCTCTGAGAGCACAGAACAGTTGATATAAGAAGCTAGGGAAGGGATGGTGTGACTGCATGAGAAAATGCAATGTGAGCTGATTGAGCAAAAAGAAAAATAAATAAAATAAAAAACTAAAGCCATCATTGATATGAAGGTAAAATTAGGAAGATCAAAAGGACAGTAGAGAACTGTGGAAAACACTGGTACAAAAGGAAAAGGAAAAAGTGGGTAAAGCCAAACTGAGTTAAAACATTAAATTAGAAAATGGTAGATATGGAAATCAGAAAAGGAAATCCAACAGAAGCGTATTTGAGTCTCAAGAAGAGAGCAATGAAATACAACAAATGTTTAAAGATATAATTCAAGATAACATTTCTGACATAATAAATACCCATACACACTAGATTGCAACACTATTTTGACCAGGATTTTTTGTTTGTTTGTCACATGGGAATGCTTGAAAAAAGAAGGTATTTTGGCAAGGATATATGGTGGTACTTAATTGGGTGCTTACCTGTGGTAATTGGTGGCATAGGTGGATTTGGTAAGCATGGAAATTAGATTCTATAGCAATTAGTTACACTAACTTTATGTAATCTGATTAAATAGGCAAAATTTGCTTCATATTAAGGTTTTATTTTTTTATTTACCCTGTTTTAGGTAACCTTTGAATATAAAAAGTGCTTTAAGTAAAACATTTTTCAAATAAAAATTAGAAAATGTAAAACCAGTTCTCTGCTTAGGACAGGCTCACAACCTATTTCTTAATCCATCTGTAAGACTTATGATTGTTAAATGTGTGAAAATGTTTTTGTTTTTTATTTTTTATTGAAACAGAATGGATTATTTATATTTGTGGGGTTCAGAGTTGACCATCAGTGTTTGTATATAATATGTGATGATCAAATCAGCATTATTAGCATAGTCATTATTATAAAAAGTAATTATTCTTTGTGTCCATTTGTGAAAATGTTTTTTGAGATTTGATACATTTCAATTAAAATGAATTTGGGTTGTTATTGGTTGATTTAGATCAGTGATTTTTATCACTCCCTTGATGGGCTTTTAAAATCACCAATGACTAAGTCTTTATCACAGAGCACTTATTACCTGTGCTGGACTGCTATGGGCAGAGAACAAATCTCTTCTCACAAGTTACCTTATTATTGGGCTTAACAAAAAGATAATTTAATTAAAATGGAAAGTTGTGGTTTTTACTTCTTAATACCATAACATAACCAATACCAATATGTGAACTTGTTGAAGTATTTGGAAATATGAGATAATTCAA